AGAATTCGTCCTTCAAGTGGAATAGATCCTAAGGTGCCAAATCCAATCTTTGACCCGATTTTCCATTTTTTTTCAATGAATTCTAGAAAAACGGTATGAATTTTGAGAATTCGGCCCGCAAGTGGCTAATACCCTAAGTTCCCATATGCCATCTTCACCCCGATTTTCCATTTGATCAGTGAATTTCAGAAAAACCAAGTAAATTCTGAGCACTCATGCTACAAGTGGATAATAGCCGAAGTACCCATACGCTATCTTAACCCCGATTTTCCATTTTTTTCAACAAATTATAGAAAAACGGGGTAAAATCTAAGAATTCGTCCTCCAAATGGAATAGGTCCCGAGTTGCCATATCCAATATTCAACCCGATATTTCAATTTTTTTTTCAATGAATTCTAAAGAAACGGGATTAATTCTGCGAATCCATCCGCAAGTGGCTAACGCGCTAAGTTCCTACATGCCATCTTTACCCCGATTTACCATTTGATCAGTGAATTCGAGAAAAACGGGGTAAATTCTGAGCATTCGTGTTGTAAGTGAATAATATATGCTATTTTTTTTTTCAGTGAATTTGACAAAAACGGGGTAAAATCTTAGAATTCATCCTCCAAATCAAATAGATCCCAAGTTGCCATATCCAATCTTAAACCCGATTTTCCATTTTTTTCAAAGACTTCTAGAAAAACGGGATAAATTCTATGAATTCATCCGCAAGTGGCTAACACGCTAGGTTCCCATATGCCATCTTTACCCAGATTTCCCATTTGATCAGCGAATTCTAGAAAAACGGGGTGAATTCTGTGAAATTCATCCTTTAGGTGGATTATATCCTACTGACTTGCCATAGCCAACTTTACCCCGATTTTCGATTTGATCATTGTGCGATTTTGTCATAAACGGGGTAAATTATGACAAATCCACCCAAACGTGTAATAAATCCAACAATGATTTAGAAACAGTACTAAAAAAAGAACAACTGAAATCAGCGGAACCGCAATAAAATCACATCACAATCTACTACTCCAAATTTTTACGGAGGGCTCAGTGCGATACAGCAAAAACCTACAAAATTCAAAATAAACAACCGAAGGTCAAACTTCTGTGATTGAAGGAAGACTTCGTGAAGCAGACAAATTATCACAACTTTGACCTCTCAGTCGATCTCACCTCCCGCAGATCAGCGAATATGGGCGGCCGTCACCACCAAAAATTCAAGGATCTCAAATAGATCAGCAAATACAAAGCTGGTTTAAAGATCAGCTGCAGGATAGAATAGCTAATAAAGGAATGGCATGGCCAAATTATAGACGGTTTAGTTTTCCTTCGTGTAACAGAACACCCTAAACATAGATAGTTTAGCCAAATGATAAACGGTCTAGTTGTCCGTGTCGAGTTGGAACATGAAATTGTGAAATGGACTAGCTCAATTGCGAATAGCCTAGCACTCATTTGCAATACAGTACACAAACGGTGTAGCGTTGCGTCAAATGGCTCAGGATAATGTCGAGTAGCACAACGTACGCACAAATGGTGTAGCGTTGCGTCAAATGGCACAGCGTAATGTAGAATAATACAGCGCACACACATGTGGTGTAGCGTTGTGTGAAATGGCTCAGCGTAATGTCGAATGGTACAGCGTACATACAAACAGTGTAGCGTTGCGTGAAATGGCTCAGCGTAATGTCGAATGGTACAGCGTACACACAAATGGTGTAGCGTTAGGTCGAATAGCTTTGCGGAACATCAGACGCTCTATCTGAACATTAAATTGCTTAGCATTACTTGAAATATTTCGATGTTGTGGCGAATCGACGAGCTTGCTAGTGGCGTGAAGTGAAGGCCATGCCATTCCTTTATTAGCTATGCTATCCTGCAGCTGATCCTTAAACCATCTTTGTATTTGCTGATCTATTTGACATCCTTGTATTTTTGGTGGTGACGGCCGCCAAGGCTATCTCGCCGAAACCACCAAAAATAAAAACCGCAAATGGAACAGTGATCTGCTGGGGGCATGACGTCATCGAATGTGAAGACTGCCGCGAAGCCATCACATGGCGTAGTCGCTCTATTGAATAGTCTTCATTTCGCTTTGCTGTAAAGCAGAACCAATTCGGTAAGTTTCTCCTCTTTTTTTCTCCACCGATATTGCATTTATTCGTTGTCGTTCATGAAAGAGTCAATTAAAATAGCAACGAGACTAAATTCCTCCACGGTTGCATGTTGCCGGTGTCCTAGCGGATTTGGACTCCCCGGTCCAAATCTGCTCGCGGATATATACCCGCCAACAGAACTGAGTGAAAACATCATCCTTAACGTTCTCATAGAAATAGATAATACTTTATATTTCAGTGCGAACTAAAATATGTTTTTAATTAAAATATGCGTATCGCCAATGCATACGAACTGGCAGCTAGAAATGACCTGTCGGATGTTTCTTTTGACCAAGGGAAAATGTGCAAGCATTTAGTTCAATGTTCGGAGAAGGGTCGTTTTTGAACCTTTTCCGCGATAGTCGAACACCGCTACTGATTCAGTAAGAGACAAACTTATGACACTAATTTATTTTATTATTGTTCAATGCCCAAGTGTCAGGACGACATGGTACAGTGTGAGTTTGTTATTTCAGATCCCTCAACAGTTAATAATCGTTAAAATTAGAAAATAAGATTGAGTTCGATGAAATAGTCTCCACTTTTGTTAAGACGTAGACATTAATGTTGATTTGCATCTGAAAATAAGCTGAGAGTTGCAATAGTTGAGAACGAAATGGCTGTTTTTCTTTACCTTTATTGAGGAATGCTGTGTTGTGATTGAAAAGAAAAACGACAAAAAGCTTGTAAATATACTTAGTTACCAAATATGATACAAACGATACTTAAAAGGAACGTTTGGTGAGGGGGTCCAAATCTGCGAAGTGGGGTCCATATCCGCTAGCGGATTTGGACAGGTGGGGTCCAAATCCGCTGTGACACCGGCCTCCCGGTTTACCAAAGTTTGCACGCGTTGGTGGGCCTGAATATGTTTATAGTATTAAGTAGTGTTATGACGTGCATTAAATGTCGATTGTCGAGCTCTCTTTTCTCTCTCTGACTCACACTTTCTTTTCAATGAGAGTTCAACATCAACGGCTCTTTGAACATTGGAGGAGTACGTGAGAAGTTGAATTTTGTGTGTGCCCTGGACGCCATGGTAAGAAAACTGACATCCTTGATCTGTTTTGACATTTTTCAATCAAAGTGATATCGGAATGCTTTAATTGGTGTGCCGGACGATAAAACCAACTCGGAAAAAAGGTTGCTTTGGGAAACTACATGTTTGATTGAAAAATGTGGTAGAATTCAGTCTCGTTGCTATTTTAATTAACGCTTCCATGAACGACAACGAATATATGCAATATCGGCGGGGAAAAAAAAGGAGAAACTCACTGAATTGGCTCTGCTTTACGGCAAGGCGAAGTGAAGACTCTTCAACACAACGACTACGCATTTTGATGGTTTCGCGGCAGTCTTCGCATTCGATGACGTCATGCCCCCCAGCAGATCGCTGTTCCATTTGCGGTTTGTATTTTGGTGGTTTCGGCGAGATAGCCTTCATGTCACGCCACAAGCAAGCTCGACGATTCGCCACAACATCGAAATATTTCGTGTAATGCTAAGCAATTTAATGTTCAGATAGAGCGTCTGGTGTTCTGCAAAGGTATTCGACATAACGCTACACCATTTTTGTGTACGCTTTACCATTCTACATTACGCTAAGCCATTTCACGCAACTCTACACCATTTGTGTGTACGCTGTACCATTCGACATTACGCTGAGCCATTTCACGCAGCGCTACACCATTTGTGTGTACGCTATACCATTCGACATTACGCTGAGCCATTTCACGTAACGCTACACTGTTTGTATGTACGCTGTATCATTCTACATCACGCTGAGCTATTTCACGTAACGCTACACCATTTGTGCGTACGCTGTGCTACTCTACATTACCCTGTGCTATTTGACGCAACGCTACACCGTTTGTTTACTGTATTGCAAATGAGTGCTAAGCTATTCGTAATTGAGCTAGTCCATTTCACAATTTCATGTTCCAACTCGACATGGGCAACTAGACCGTTTATTTATTTGGCTAGATTATTTATGTTTAGGGTGTTCTGTTTCATGAAGGAAAACTAAACCGTCTATAATTTGGCCATGCCATTCCTTTATTAGCTATTCTATCCTGCAGCTGATCCTTAGCTTTGTATTTGCTGATCTATTCAACATCCTTGTATTTTTGATGGTGACGGCCGCCCTTACAGCGAAGCGTCAAAAATATATAATTTTATGCCGACGAACCATAATCTACGATCTTCAACTATTAAAGAAAATAAAACAATTGTGATATGACGCCACATTGTGCTTTTGTTGTAGCCTGTGTGTAAAATGTTGTCAATGGAGTCGCAAGTCAAACAATGAAGACAGTAAATAAAGGAAGACTGCAAATAAAGCGTGAACAATAACGCATCCTTTGGTCGAAGGTCGCTTTGTTATTTACGTAGCAAGTTATTCTTTCACGTTTAGGTTATAACAACGATGCGATCACACGGCGCTAACGAAGGAACGTTTGAACTGTGAGAGGCCAATGATCCGGTTCGCAATGGTCATGCGAGCAGCATGTTTTCCTGAGATCAGTTACCAGAAAATACTGGTCAAATTTTCCACTTATCCCGACCCCCTTGAATGAGTACTTTTGCTTGAAGACACAACTACAAAGGAGAAGCGGAGTCTCTTAACCAGTCCCAAGCCGCGTGTCGCTCTAAAGATCACAGGATATGATTGGCCACTGTATCACATTACGTCGAAGATATATGTCCTACAAGACGTCAATACATTAAAACGCACAGACATTAATCCAAACATCCGTAAAGAAAGGGTGTAGAATCCGTTAACATCTGTAAAACTAGTTTCTCTTATTCAAAATCTTAAGGCAGTCAGCATTATTCATCTCCTGGTGAACATGAGGAATTCATCGTGTCAGTTTGAGCAAGCTCAATCTTTACAAGATGGCGTAAAAGCGAAGCAGAAGATAAATGCTCTATTCAGAGCGCTCAAAGAGAATCTTGAAGACTGTGTCAATTTCTTAGCTGATTTTAGAATAGCAGATGAAAATGAACTAGACATCGAGAAACTCTCAAGTGAGGTAAGATAGTCGAATGTTGACTTGCGTTAAATCACTGTAAGCGCTTGTGGTGAAATTCGTACGTGGACAGTAAAATTGTTAGATTCTTAAGGAAAATGGATGGTCCTAGCCGAAATCTCGATAAAGCTTATTTTTCTCTCAAAAAGAAAAGAAAGCAGTGTGCTGCTTTTGGTTGTTCAAATATATTTTATGGCCCCAATGGTTTGCCTACGAGCTTTCACTTCAAGTTTATGCACGGAGGCATGTGTTTTTGCTAAATATTTATCGTTCTATACTTATCTTATTCTCTGTGAATTAGGGATGAGGGTAACTGTTGTTGCAAAATTAGTACAAATTTTCTAGTAGGTACTTGAATTGTTTTAAGTTCAGTAGAGTTTTTTTTATTCTGGCAGCAAGTCAAGAAGTTCAGTGCTGCTCACCTGTTTACTACTTGGCTTGCCTAAAACACTCCTAGCAGAGAAACTCTTGGAAAGTAATTGCTTTTAATGAAATAACCAAGACACTGTATCTTCAGAGTTTTCACTTATCATGGCAGACCCAGAAAACTGACTCAAATTTGGTAGCAATTGTGACAAAAGCAGTTTTCAGTAGTTGTTGTTTTTATTTTTGTTTTTTTATGATAGCATAGTAATCCACTATGGATGCCACATGGAACTCTCAAAAAATATTTTTTGTGCTTTATGTATCAATCAATTTGATGCTTCAAATTGAAAAAAGGAAAAAGTGAGTTTCACCAACTAAAAGAGTTCTCGACACAAAGATGAACTATGAAACTAAATTTTATTATTCACAAAATTGTCCACATAATAAAAAGTTTGATAGAAGTCTCGCAAAAAATAACTTCTCATACATTTTGATAGTCTGAAAGATTCTCTTTCAAACAAATCTTATGGTAACTATAACAGGATAAAATAAATATCTTGATTCGGATATATTTCTCAATCTTTTAAGTATCTTCTTTTCATCTCAAAACTATATCATAACATTGGTTAACACAATGCAATAAGTATAGGAAATCGTATGAACGCGAGTGCATTTCGTGATTTATGGGCACGAGTGATGTTTTGAAAGTTCTCACGCCTACGGCTTGTGCAATTTTGAGAACTTTCAAAACATCACGAGTGACCATAAATCACGAAATGCACGAGCAGGTTCATACGATTTTTTATTTATTATATTCTCGATTTTTTTATAATTTGGTGTTCAAATTTGGTGCTTCCCCGGTGTTTCCATGGCAACTTCTCCGTATTGCACTCTATAACCTCTATTGCACTCTATAACCTATTTATGCATTCATCATTGACCAATCAGAAACACGATATTTTGTTGAGTATATAATAAGAACTAGTATAGCAAACCTTTGTGTCAGGCCTCTGAGTGCTAAGAATGGGAATATCAATTCACTGAATGTTTATCACTGACAGAAACTTAAATGTGTGTAAAGGACTAGCATTGTTGAGATCAGTAGCTGAGAGGAAGCATTTCTGTTCTCTTCCTTTAACCCTTAAATACCCAAGATCTGATTGTCAATTCTCCCTTCTAGTTGCTACACATTTACTTGTAAATAAGTTATGAGAATTTGATGTAAGATCAAGATGGCTTCTGCCTGATAAGTTTCAGTATTAACATTATCTGTTTGCTGCATAGTATTTGGAGAAGTTACATGAATCAGTCACTTCTGTGAGTTTTCAAATTGTCTAATATTTTGGTCTGATTCTTTCAATGGTGTCTTGTCACCTAATAAATTACCATGAGTCGCAAACTGAAATGGTTTTCAATGTAGCATGAGCATAAGTTGTCCTAGGCCAGATGGGTATGAAAATATTATGACATCTGTTAGTTACAGTTTTCCTCATGGGTTGATAGAAAGAAAGGTTATAATCAAGTGGTTCTACAGGCTCTATTTTATAGTTTCCCATAAAATAAAATGTACAAATGGCAAACTAAAAGACATCTTGGTGAACAAAATGGGAACAACTTTAACTGAAGAATATGGTACAACAATAAGTACCACATCAACAACAGCAGCAATAACAAATCTCCTCTACCTAGAGGGCTGCAGCCTTTGCCTGGCTTTCTAAGCCATACTGAACAGCTTCTGTGGTACTTCCTGTAATGGATTCCTCTCAACATGATGTGGTGATATTCTCGTGAAACAACAGGGTAATCATAAAGCTGACTGAAATTCATCTCAGGTAAATTATGGAGATTGCTCGCCCATCCAAGGGCTGAAATCCTTACCATAGTTACTTCATATCTGAAGTTGCTCTGGTTTTGTTCTAGGTCCTGGACATCTGTAAGAAGTTCTTGATTTTCTCCACTACTCGATGGAAGGATGTGTCACATCAGCAAAGCATAAACTTTCAACACTAAGTCAGCTCTAATTTAGCCAGTCGATTTTAAATTAGATTTTAACATCTCCCTGAGATCTTTTGCTTCGAGTTTCTGGATGTCATCTAATGATGAAATTTTCGTATTGTTGTGTTAAAGAACTATTTTGAAGGGAGAATCACATTGAAAAGTGCATTAGATCATGAAATGTCAACAGATCAGCTGTTTGAAAGAACCGCTGGGTCAACCCCAGCCTTGTTATCATGTGTGTGCGGTTACTAATCCAGTATGGCGCTGGGAACTGATAAAGGTCTATTGATAAATTAAAATTGTTTAACCAGTGTAGATCATATAACTTTATGTTGTTTTCAAGTGTTTTTGTTAAATTTACTTTGCCATTACTTCAAAGCTACCCTGCACTATCACTGTTAATTTTTTTATTTAATTAATTCTTACTAAGTCAGAACTGATTACTGCATTTCTCTTACACAGGTGTCAGGCTTTCCGGCTCAGGTTTCATGTATCTCAGAGGTACTATCAAGGGATCAGGTGAAGGTGGCATTCTTGGGACGAACTAGCAATGGAAAGACCACTACAATAAATGCCATGCTACAAGATAAGATCTTACCAATGGGAATTGCCCGTACTACAAACTGTTTTTTCAGTGTACGTGGTTTAGATTTACCAGATCCATGTATCTTGGTTCCAGGGAGTGATGACAAAAAGAATGTGGAAGTATGTCTTCCCAAAAAGTAATTATATGTACCACATTTTCTTGATTGAGCAACCAGTGCATTTATTTCAAACTTGGCCTAGTGAACCTGGTGTTTTTAGGCATTAGGATGGTGTTTTAATCTGGGTGTGTCAACTTGTCATAACATCCATAATTCAAGACTGACAGTTAGTTGGTTAAGAAAACATGATTTTTCTCTGTCAAACTGTCTCCTAGTCTCAACAAGGATATATATTTTTCTTACAAACATTTCGTGAATAAAATATGAGTTATGGTTAATAAATTGTATTTGATTTCTATAGCCAAACAGAAGATAAAGGCCTAAACCTCAATCAGTTACTACTACCGTTTAATTCTAAACTAGCTGTATTTCTCTGGTGTTTATATGGTTTTAACAATTAATTTCAGTTTGACATTTAATTTACAAAATATCACTAATGCTTAAATTATCTTAAAGCAGAAAATGCTCATGAAATAGATTAAATAATACTCCATTTGATAAATGTGCTATAATTATAAGTTAAAATAAATAGTTAATAATCTTGATAATTACATATTTTTCTTTTAGTCATCAAAACAGTCATTATATGAACTTGCCAATGCCTTGTGCAAAGAAAAGCTTGATCCTAGCAGTCTTGTTCAAGTGTTGTGGCCAAAGTCCAGGTTTGATTTCGTTAAATTGTTTTGTAATTTTATATCATTCACATGTACTCACTGGTAACTGTTGTCCTGTCAATCAAAGTGCATTTATAGTTCAACCTTGCAAACTTTATTCATGGATTGTAAAAGTAGAATGTTGTTCCCTTTGTTGTACATGAATTGTTCTTGTCCAGGTTTATTCCAAAGAGGTTAAGTTTGTCAATATTTTTTGGCTTCAAATTAATTCTGTTATTATGTATTAGACTTATGTATTATAACATCTATATAGCTGATTGGTCAAGAGCATTCAATCAATGTACAAAAGCAGAGGAAGTTGACATGATAACCCAATATCTGCAGCAGACATTGCATTTATCATTTGGAGTTCAAAGTCTGCCTAGTTTCCAAGCCCTTACTCCATGAAGTTTTCTCAACCTTTTGCAAACAGAGAGATGTGTCTTCATTTCCAGATTGTTTTTAAAAAATGTGTAATTAAAACAATTATGGAATTCAGTTTTTACATCATATCATAAACTATTAAGCATGGTGTCTTTGAAATCTGCCTCAGCTTTCAGTTTTGGAAGATAACTTAGAACTCGGTTTTGATAATTCAAGTTATCATGCTCAACTTCCTTGAGTAATAGTGCAATATACATACAGTAAAGTATAAAGCTGTGTTATTGGTTTTTTGATGAGTGTCTTATAAACATAGGAAATGTACTTCTAGTGTTAAAAAGCTCTCAGATAGACTGCCTCTTGTGTCTTAAGAAGGGATAAAAAACCTTCCAAAGACAGTTCACATGTTCTAGATAATGCATTTCATCTGGGGGTTTGTATCATTACAATAAAGTTTTGCCTGTACATTGTTGTCACTTGTTATAGTTTCATTTTTGTTAAAAATGTATTTTTTTAAACCTCAGATGTAAACTGTTGTCAAAAGATGTTGTTTTGGTGGATAGGTAAGCAATTTAAAAGTGATGAATTGTACTGTATAATTAACCTTTTGAGCCCTAAGAATTGAATTTCTCCTTAAAATTTCACCCCTAACACATTAAGATCACAAGAATAAAGGAAATGATCACCATCTAATGAAGCTCTGGACTGTTTGGTAAATTGTCTTTTTCTACACCTAAGGGAATGCATAGAGATCAATACAGAGGATATGTTTACTAATGTTAGGCTGTGAAGGTTTAAGAAGGAAAAAAGAGACAAAAAAACAGGGAAACACTAAAAACAACAGGTTAATGAGGCATTGCTCTATTGTGACATATCCTGTGTCTTCTAAACCAAGAAGAAGCCTAAAAATGCTTTGTAAATAGTCACAGACAACTTTTATTTTAGTCCTGGTATAGATATGAGCCCTGATCTTGATCTGTGGATAGATAAGCACTGTTTGGATGCTGATGTGTTTGTCCTGGTTGCTAATGCTGAGTCAACGCTTACGTTTGTGGTATGTTCATGACCATTCATGTGCTATGTGTAAATTTTAAGATACAACACATACAAATTTTAAATTTGATTGAATTTTTTGTGAAATTTTGGTTACTTTCAAATATGACTTGTTGCAGGAGAAATTTATCCCAGGTGGTAGCATTCATAGATTTAACCTTCCCATGCTTGTGGGGTAGTTTCTCATTTGGTACCCTTGTCATCTGCAGGAGAAAAACTTTTTTCACCGAGTGAATCAGCTTTTTTCAAGACCAAACATCTTCATTCTGTATAACAGATGGGATGCATCTGCATCAGAACCTGATAGGATGGAGCAGGTTAGTAAGCACTTATTTGACCTTGATACCCATTTAAATATGAAATCAAAAGATGTTAAAAATGGAATCAAAAGACAACATGGAATTGCCTTTCATTTCAGATGCTGCCTTCAAAGGAAATTGTCGCCTTGAAAAAAAAAAAATACAGATTCATTATGGGGGGGGGGGGGCTTAGATATAGGGGAATGATTAAGGTATGATGATGGGTGGGATAACAAGCCATTTATCCCACCTCCTCCCCCTCCCACTGGACAACAACCCATCTCCCTCCCTCCCCCCAACTATCAGATGATGGTGATAAAGTGTGATTTTTAAAATTTTTTTTTTACCTGTTTCCTTTAAGGTAAAAAGTCAGCATCTCAGTAGAAGCATCAGTTTTCTTGTTGATGAGCTCAAGTGTGCAAACAAAGGACAGGCAGAAGACAGAGTATTTTTTGTCTCAGCTAAAGAGGTAAGCTGCTGGATATTTTATATCAGGGTTTATAAGGACCAACTGCAAATAACTGAATAAGTCTTCAAGTTTTTGTTACTGCTATGCAAAGAGAAATATAATACAGGAGACACCTCTTAAATAATTTATTTATAATCCCACTTTCTTTTCATGTTTCTGTTTTACCCAGACCTTAATGACCAGAATGCAGAAACACCAAGAAATGCCTCAGGGAGGTATGTGGCTGATCAGTATGTGCATTCTCTTGAAACAGCATAAACACAAACTGTCAACAAGTAATATTTAATCAAGTAGCTAGCATTGCCATGTTGTTTTTCAGGTGTTGCCATTCATGTTGAAGGATTTCCTGCTCGACAGTTGGAGTTTGAGAACTTTGAACGCAAATTTGAGGTAATGTAGCTGCTGTTCAGGTTTACAATGCAGCATAGATTTTAGTTAGCCACTTGTCTATTGGCAGATCCCCTATGAACAAAAAGGTGACAAAAATATTTTTATGATTGCAATGTGGAATTTAATAGCATTGTTATTCAAGGAGTACAGAATTGCTAATATAGCTTTACATATAGCTCTGCAGGGGTTTTCCCAAAAGATAGTCACAGGTGGGTTACCACCACCTTAAAGACCTTTAACTACTGTCTGTTTAGCTCGGAAAGGGGCCTTCTGACCCCTTTCCTAGGGTACTGCCACCTTAAACACTGTTGGCAGCTGCTTATGGAAAAGGCTATTGAAACCCCTGGGTCTGTTGTGTGAGATCATTGGTAAGAGCTAATCAAAGATTGCTACCACAGAGTCATGATGTATATGAACATGTACTTTTTTTCATTTAAAGTTAAACACATTTGCTTGTCTAGAGTTTGTGTCAATTAATTATTCTCACTTCACAATAGAAATTTTACATGCTTGGTTTTATAGGAGTGTATTTTTAAGTCAGCCATGAAAACCAAGTTTGAATCTCATGCGATCAGTGGATTGAAAATTGCAAAAATGTTAAAGGTTCATATGGAACAAATAGAGAGTTCTGCATTTCAACAAAGGTGAGAAAGAGAGAGATAATTTTTTCCTTTTGCTTATCAATAGTGATTTTAGTTAATTGTTGATTTTGCTGAGTTCATATGGTCTATTTTGCTCAGATCTAAACTGGAGGAAGCTGGGAAAAAGCAAAAGAATAGACTGGAATATGTGAAGGAAGGGCTTGAAATCATTACATATGACATTGAACGCCAGATCGAGAAGATTACTTCCAAAGTTGAGGGTCAGGTAGTAAAATAATTATTCAAATGTTCTTTAGGAGGCCTAAGTTTAAAAAACTTGTGGTTTATTCAGTCTTGAATCTCAGTTATTTCAAGTTTTTCTCAATGTAAGGTTTCAGAACAGATTAAAAAGTATGTAATCAAATGGATGACTCTTTTTTACATGCTTCTCAAGTGCTTGTCAGGTGCCTCTGATATGTATGCTAAATTTACTTTGAAGTGAGTGGTAAAATCTTATCAAGAGTTTGCCTTAATTTTACTGCTATAGTGCCTGAGTACACACAGATATGCACCTAATTTGATGTAAGTATGATGACTTATAGTAGTAAAGATGAACACAAATCGGGACACAATCTTACAGAACTAATCTGTTGGAGCTTTTCCCCAATTTCCACACCCAGAGTACTGCTTCTTCCCCTCAAATGGAAGCCAGTCCATCCCATGCTACCCGTCCCCCACCCTGACAGCAGTTCTTCATGTTTTCCCATTGTTTGTATCCATTTTTACTCTTAGGGCTTTTCCGCATGATCGGATAAAACTAGAATTGTCCCGACGAAATCAAAGGACAAATTTTGTCAAATTTCAAAGCCGTCAGCGCCTGATCTGTTCATAAGACCGGCCAGCAAAGGATTCCACCTCCCATTTCCAAGTCGTTTTAAAATTTTTACAGTCCCAGAGTTTTGCAACAAAAGGCAATTTTTGCATTTCTAGTTAACTGATTTCAGTTCAATAACGTGCTGGTCTTAGCTTTTACGACAAATGATCGACAAGGTTAACGTGGTTTTGTTTATTTGGTCAATTTTGCCCAGTTTTTACCTGGGACAAATTTTCAGTCACGACAACCCATCTGCACTTGTAAGATGTTGGTGATGACAAAAAATTTCTCTAAATAAACAACTTTTTCGCCAGAGCGGAAAGGCCCTTAGTTAGAGAGAGAAGGAGACTGCCAGAGTTAGGTGCCTTGTTCAAGAACACGACACATCGACCCACCCGGTGCTCAAACCCAGACCTCTTGACCTGTATTTCAATGCGCCGACCAATTAGCCATGAGTGTCGCACATTGCCCTGTGTATCGATTTTTATTAACTCAAAATGCAGCGAGAAAGTCTGATGTTGCTTACTCAACAAAATGTGTTACTTTCTTTTAGGTGGTTGAGGTTATGGCA